CTGTCGGCCCTCTTACCACACATCAATCCCCATTTGTGGCTCAGCTCAAGACCACAACACACAACCACACGGGGTGGTCTCTGCACAGTGCTGGAGGCCCACTCCTGGCACTGGGAGTCGGGAGCCTGCAGACACGATTCTAGACACCAGGACCATCTCCCCACGCCAATCCCAGAGCCTCTCCCCACTCTGCAGAGATCCTGGCTCTTTCTAGCTTTTCACCTTTGACTTCAGTGCCACGGCCCAGGGCACATTTTCTCCCCCATATTTAGCCTGTGTAGACAGCTGGTATACATGTCCCCATCTTGCCTTCTTTTCTCTGGGTTCAGGGCACAAAGACAGTAGCATTCTTGGGGGGGCGGGAAAGGGGGCTGTCACTGGGTACAACCTTTGTTTGCCAAAGTTAATGATTCACTGAGTTGTTCCTAGGAGGCAGGGAGAAGTCAGGGCTCAGCCATTCTCTGGGTTCCAGGGAGCAACAGGCCTGTCCCGCTACAGGGCCAACTACCCTGTCTCTTCTCAGGCCTGGGACTTGCCTGGCATTGCATCAGGGTGACTGCACTGTCACCAACCCTCGTGAGCTCCTTCCACGCTAGTCCTTGATGGAAGGTAGTGGGACTATTTTAAAAAGAACTTCCTAGAGGAGGTATAGATCTTTGTCCTCCCCCAACACTTTTTTAAAGCAGGGAGAAGCCAGGGGTGTTCATTTATTGAACACTGAACACCTACTATGTGTCAAGGGCTGATCAGGTGGGATGTACAACAGTAAACAAAACTGAAGAAAACTGCAACAAACAAGCTCCAATTAGCAGGTGACCTGCTAGCCGCTACAGGGACCTTCCTCTCTGTCCAACTTTCCCTCCCTGCCCCCGCCCGGCCAACACCCCCCCCCATGGGGCATGAATTTTTAAATATGGAAAAACACGGGCCTAGGATGCACCAGCCGCGGGCACGTCTTTGATGGGTGGCCCCCAGGGGTTCCCAGGGAGGCCCAGCTTCACCTGCCTGT